GGACCCGGGTTCAATTCCCAGCACCCACATGGCAGCTAACAACGATCCATAACTCCAGTTCCAGGGGATCCGACGCCTTCTGTCCCCCACGGGCATTGCATGACATGGGTGCACTTACATACATTTAGGCAAAACACTTGTGCACATAAAAATAAAATAATAAATTTTTTTTGGTCTTTCTGAGACATGGTCTCCCTGTAGCCCCAGCTGTCCTGGAGCTCACTATGTTAGAGTGCCCAGCATGTGTGACTCTGTAGTTTCAATCCCCAACACCACACAGGCATGCACACAGCACATATACACAAAACGTACAGTGATACTTCCTAATGCTGAGTGTACCACAAATTCCAAATAGCAGGGGCTGAAGAGATGCCTCAGCAGTTAAGAGCACTGACTGCTCTCGAAGAGGACCCGGGTTCAATTCCCAGCACCCACATGGCAGCTAACAACGATCCATAACTCCAGTTCCAGGGGATCTGATGCTCTCTTCTGACAACATGGATGCACTCACATACATAGAAGCAGTACAATTATACATATAAAAAATTTAAAACCGAATAGCTTTTGAAAATGCAAATACTTTGATTTATGAGAGCACCAAGGGCAGACTTGTCTCTTTTCCTGGGCTGCATTATTTCCTTCTAATTTGTTTTTAAGACAGGATCTCCCTGTACCCCCAGGTGGCTTGGAACTCACTATGTAGACTAGGCTGACCTCCCTCTCACAGAGCTCCACCTGTCTCTGCCTCCCTAGTGCTAGAATTAAAGGTGTGTGCCACCATGCCCAGCAAAAATTATTTTTATTTTATGTGTATGAGGGCTTTGCCAAAATGTTTGTAAATGCAATGCTCAAAGAGGTTAGAAGAGTGTGTTGGCTCCCCTTGAACTAGAGTTTCAGATGTTTGTTAGCCATGTGGGTACTGGGAACTAAACCCAGGTCCTCTGGAAGAGTAGCCAGGTGTCTGGGGTCTTAACCCCTAAGCCATCTCTCCAGCCCTCTTGTTTTTCATTTGAGACTCTTTGTTGCCCAGGCAGACCAACACCTGGATCCTCCTGTTTCAGCCTACCTAAGTAGCTATGACCTTGGCATGTGCCACCTCACCTATGTATTTAACAGTTTTTAAAGTGATATCTTACTGTTTAACTTACTCAGAACTTTCTTCTCTTGTTTTATTTTCTAGGGCTGTGGGATAATCTATTCCATGCCTCTATCCTGGTTTCTTCTGATAGTTTCCTAGTAATATTTGGCGTTCCTTGGCTTGTAGGTACATTTCCCCCATCTCTGCCTTCATCATCACATGGCATTCTCATATGATGTGTGTATCCAAATTTCCTCTTTGTGCTGGATAGCTTCAGTTGTCAACTTGATGCACCTAGGAAAAGAACACTTCAGCTGAGGAGTGCCATGTCTGTGAGGCCTTTTCTTGATTGCTGAGTGATGTGAGAGTGCCCAGAACACTGTGGGAGGTGCTACCCTTGGGCAGGTGGGCCTGGGTTGTATAAGAAAGGATGAGCACAGGCCAGAGGAGCAAGCCAGTAAATGGTATTCCTTCCTGGTGCTTCAGTTCCTGTCTCCGGGTTCTAACCCTGAGTTCCTGACTTGGCTTCCCTGGATAAAAAACTGTGAGCTGTAAGCAAAATAAACCCTTTCCTCCTAAATTGTCTTTGGTCAATACTTTATCACAGCAAAAAGAAGCTGACTAGGACACCCTTTTTATTAGAATACCCATCGTTGAATAAGAGCCTACCTTAATGACCTCATTTTAATATGATTACCTCTGTAAAGATGCTATCTCCAAATCAAGTTGCATTCTGACTGCTGAGGATTAGGATATCAACATATGAATTTGTATTTGGTGGGGAATAATTCAATCTACAACACTTAGCTATGTTTCTCAACTAATAGTAATAATATTGCAATTAATAGATACCTATTTTTCCTTTATTTTAAGTTGGCAGAAACTTTTTTTTTTTTTTTTTTGGTCTTTTCAGACAGGGTCTCCCTATAGCCCCAGCTGTCCTGGAACTCCCTATGTAGACCAGGCTGGCCTTGAACTCACAGAGATGTGCCTGCCTCTGCCTCCCAAGTGCTGGGATTAAAGGCATGCGTCACCATGCCCAGCCCAAAAATTCTTTTTTAAAAAAATATTTTTATTTGGGGTATGTAAATGTATTGGCTGCATGTATGTAAGTAAGTGCACCTGTGTTATGCAATGCCTTGTCAGAAGAGGGTGTCAGATCCCCTGGCTTGGTATGAAACAAGTAGTTAATGAGATCTACTCATTAGTATTAGTTGACTTAATATATCTGTAAGGAAATAGTTGCACTTATCTCGATGTGAATTGATAAGGGCTCCGGTGGAATTGCAATTCTTTGTATTAAGAAGTAATGTAATATTCCAAAGGCAGAATCAAGATAGGGTCCTAATTTGAGTAAAGTTTGGAGAATACACCAGTTAAAATGCATAGTAAAAACATACTGATGAAATAAGGAATTGATGGCCATCGTAAAGGCACACTTAATTTGTATCTGGAAAATGCTGAAATTGGAGCAATACAGTCAGGCACATAAGCTGATAATTATAATAGTGACGTTATAGGAAAGTCTAGTCCAAATATGTAGATTTGGGGAAATAGAAAATGGGTTTTTGACCCAGAAGAGAGAAGGACTGAGCCTTTTGCTATTTACATTGGAGAGCAGGGAGAAGAAAAACAGGTCGGCAAGGAACTAACCAGATAAAGTAGAGACAGAAATGATGGCATTTCAAAATCCAAGGAAAAGAAGTTTAGGAAAAAAGTAGTAAAAATTGCACATATGAAGGTAGAAGAAAATTAGAACTAAGAAAGCACATCTTTGGATTCACCCTGGAAAAGTTTCTGAGGAACTAGAGTGGGCAGATCAATTATTTCCTAAAGATAGCCACATCCTCATCTCCAGAATCTGTGAATATGGCATGCTACATGACAAGGAGGGATTAAGGTTTTTGATGAAATTAAAAATCCAAATATGACCATAAAATTATGACATCCTAGATTATGTGGACGTGCCCGAGCAGCCACGGGGTTAAGTTGCAAGGGGAATGCAGGAAGATTTTCAGTGTGATGTGGTGTGAAAATGCCTTAACCAGCCATTGCTGATTTTGAAGACAGGAGGGCTGTATTACTTTTTACTTTTTCTTCTTTTTTAAAATTTTAGTGTTTTGCGTGTGTGTGTGTGTGTGTGTGTGTGTGCGTGTGTGCGTGTGTGTGTTACACCATGTGTATTCAGTGCCTGTAGAGGTCAGAAGAGGGCATTGGATTCCTGGAACTAGAGTTAGGGACGGTTGGTTGTTAGCCATCATGCCAGGATGCTGGGAAAGGAAGCTGGGTCCTGTTCTTTGCAAGAGCAGCCAGAGCTCTTTAAATGCTGAACTCTCTCTCTAGCCCCTGTATTACTTTTCTTGTCAGTGTGATATAATACCTGACAAGAAGCAACTTAAGGAAGGAAGGATTTATTCTGGCTCACGTTTAAGGGAGTACAGTCCATCATGGTATTGAGGCATGAAACAACTTTGTTTGAATCCAGGAGGAAGAGAAGCTGGGGCTAGAAGGTGGACTGGACTGGCACCCTCAAAGTCTGTCCTCTAGAGACCCACTTCCTACTGCTCTGGTTGGGGACTGGATTGTTTCTGATCTTAGATAAACTTTGTAAGTCTCTGAAACAACATGGCAAAAATGAGAAAAGGGTAGGAGCAGACAGATCATAGCCTCCCCTTTTTTGAGAAACAGTCCAGTTGTTACTATAGCAACACAAAATGTGAAGTATTGATAGCAAAGAACTTGTTATATGTCAGATACTGTTGTAAACTTTTGTACATGTTCTCTATGACCATTAGATTCTCATCATGCTTTTCTAGTGCAGACATGTTGCTACAGATGACACAAAGTTGTCAAAGGCCACAAGAGGACAGAGGAAAACAAATGGGTGAGATCCTTTTCTTGTGTAAACTATACCTTTTCAATCCTGTTTACTTTGGCTAACGTTTTGTATCACCATTTGTGTGTGTGTGGGGGGGGGGTCATGTGAAAGTGGTAGGCATTGTATCCTTTCATCCTTTTAAAAGAAAATCAAATAAGCCATATAGGAGCCTTAGGGGGCTCACATTTGAGAGGTGTCAAGAAAGGATAATTGAAGTTGTGTGGGAGGGTAAAAGTTTAAATAGCTAATAGCTAGTTATATGTACAATGGGATACTTGGCCTCTTAATTTGCAAGACATTCATACCCTGTAGGTTATCTTCTATTGTTACAGATAACCTCAGGAGTAGTAGAGGGTCAACTAATCAGTATATACCTAGGCCGCTTGTAAAACTGGTTCTAGAATTTGAACTCTTGCATTCAATAGAAATATTTGGGCATTCAAACGGCTAATTGTGTTTCATGGGGGGGTTGTCTGTCTGTCTGTCTGTATCTTTGTGCGTGTGTCTGCGTACCTGTCTAAACCTAAAACCCAAATCTGGACGAAACAAAATACACGAAGAACCCAGGGACGCGTGATCCGGGAAGAGGTGGTCGCAGGACGTGGCCTGCCGCCGGCGGTCCGCTGGATGCTGGGAAATGTAGTCCCCAACATTCCAGGTATTCCGCATCAGGGCCTCGGGAGAGACGCACTCGCTCCCAGAAGCCTCTGGGCGACTTCACCAGGAACGCACTTCCGCGGCAGCAGAGAGGGAGTCTCTGTGGAAGGGTGCTCCGTGTGGGCGAGCTGACTGCCTTGGCGGTGAGGAACAGGTAGGTGTGGTCAGGGACGCTCGGATTTTGGAGCCTTTTGCAGGAATAATTACGGGTGCGGTGAAAATAGTGAAGTCGAGGGGACTCGGGATTAGACACGCCGAGCACATTTGTGGCTGTGGATATAAAGCGGGGAGAGGTGTTTGGTGAAGCTTAAGAACGTGCTTTTCTTCGTCGGGGGAGTAAGGCAATGGCGAGCTGTGCAGCCGGGTAAGCTGGGGGCAGGGTGGGCGCGGGTGCGAGGCGCTAGCGGCAGGATGATATTTTCGAATCACCCCCTGATGCTGGTTGTGTAATGCTGACCTGCTCCCGGGTCGAGCCCACTCCAGCGGGGATAGCTCGCTTTGCGGCTGCGCTTGCGCTCTCTTCCCATTGGCTGTCTCCAGCCGCCCCCCTCCTTCCGCGCTTGCCCTCCCCCCGCCCCGGGTTCTTCTGAGGACGCACGCGCGGGGGTTGAGCGGGGGTGAGTTTCTGCGTGGAGAGCCCCTCCTCCTGGCCTGTGAAGGGTCTCGTAGCGCCTCCGAGAACCGCCGCACTACGTGACCTCACTTCAGCATTCGATTGCGTGGTGTTGTATGTAAAGGACCTCTCTGACTATTCTACTTGGTAACAACTCTAGAATCACGCGTGGGAGGAGGGGAAACGATCGAAATCACCACCCGGGTCACATTCTGCATAATTACTGTAATAGAACTGGTGATAAACGCCTTAATCCAGGAAGCTCTCAGGCGTTTATGAGCTTTCACTCATTGTACCTGTTTGAGTTAAATATTTGAAGAGGCAGTCGCTCACGTTTAGAGATGAGGAAACGTGCTGAAGTTGCAGGTCGAGCGCCGGGTGGAACCAGAAACTAAAAACATAACAGTGTGATTGCAAATTTTAGGATGTACAGTGCAGATCAGCTTTGTCTGGTTTTGTTGTGATTACCCTTTTACAAACATTTTCGAAAACAATGTTTTTCTTTTAATTCCAAGACGACTGTATCCCATTGTCCTTAAATCAGTCTCAGAAAAAATTTTCCATAGATTTCTAAGGTGGTTTTTATCATTAATTCATCTGAACTTAGAAATCACAAAATAAGTTATTTTTTTTTCCTGTAGCGCACATCTAAAATGAATTAAGTATAAACTACCTGTGTTATTTTGTTGTTTGTTTTGTTTTTTAGTGGTGCTGGTCTAGAACATAGGTCTTCTGCATGATGGGCAAACTTTTTAGCACTGAGCTACATACACCCCAATTCTAAACTTCTTTTTTGTAAATTACTTGCCTGTCATGGTATATCATCTTTTTAATTTTAGATGACTGCTAATTTTTTCTAATTATATGTGAGTATAAATTGAGCTTTTAGAGAAGTGTTATGATAATTTGTGGCCTTTGTTTTTGTATTTCTGTAGGCCCAGATCATCTCACTTTGTGTTTAGATGTACACGTGTCTTTAATAAGTTGACTAAGCTATTTGGGGAAGATCAGGTACTTAAAGGGTAAGTTCATCTTTTGGTTATATGATATTTCTCTCTCCTGCTGTCTCTATCAATAATAATGCTTTTCTTCAATAGAAAAAAGGTATAGGACACTTATGAGCACAGCGATTGATGACTTAATTTCTAAGAAAGCCTAAATTATAGGTAGAAGAAACCCTCAGTGTTAACATCAAAAATTAATTTAGTGGCTATGAGGCATATGTGATTTTGTACCAAGTTTTTGGAATTGTCGCCAAAGAAATTGTAATGGCTTTGTGAATTCCCGACACTCTCTGCCACTATTTCTGCCCCAGCCTTCTTTGAACTCTATTCAGAAACCAAAGAAATACATCCTTTGGGGAATGTTTTTGTTTAAAATGATATATTTGATAACATTTAGTTGTGTGCCAAACCTCTTCCATGTAGTTTTTTGAAAATCACTATGGAGCAGAGTGAAATGACAAATGTGAACTATTTTGAAATTGTCTTGATTTGACTTGGTCAATAACCATTCCAAAAATAAACTTGTCGTTACTGCTGTATGACTTTAAACATCTGTGAATCTGCTGAGAATCCCCAAAACAGTTGTGCCTGAAGAGAGTAAATAACTTATTCATAGTTACAGCCTTAAATTTGTGACCATATTCTGGTTTGCAAGGGGATTTTACTACATCATTGCACAACCACTTCAAGGGGTATTGTGCAGATTAGAAATTTAAAGTTCAAACACATAGGTAACTGCACAGGTTCTGAACAGTAGGTTAGGAGGGAGTCTTTGGTCTCCTGGTTAACTGTGGACCTGTCTCTCAGATGGAACAGTAACTCCATACATGGGTGTATATGTCTCAGCTCAGAGCTGTTGCCCAGTTTGTGTTCACAAGTGCTCCTGGACTTACTAATGTGTGTTCTTGGCCTTGCACATTTTTCATAGCCTCCACTTAAAGAGTTTTCATATGGCAAAAGACATGTTTGTCCCCCTTTACTGTGAAAAGTTTGTAAGTACAAATACAGTAAGTTATTCAACTTTGCCAAATGAACATGAATTTGATATATTGACCTCCTTAACAAAGAGAGACATTCAGTGTGTAATTTGTAATGAAGGTATAAGCGATTGACTTTCTAAGCATTGTTGAGGTTAAGCAGTGTGGCCAAACTTGGGTCTGTATTTCTAGAAATGTAGTCTGATATAAATTCGTAGAAATGGTCTCATCTTTTCCTGCTCACAGGTTTCCAAAGGAATAAAATAAATTTTGGGTTTTTTGTTTGTTTTTATACAATGGGAGAGACTTGGCCAGTAAAGAGTGAAAAATAGATAAAAATCTAGAAGCAGCCTGGATGCTTCAGAGAACAGGATGGAGTGAATTGTCCAGTTGAAATGAATTTGTACTAAACCAGATTTTTAACTTTCTCTGTATCCCAACCAGACACATATGGACCTTCTATGTATTTATTCCTTCATTCAGCAGGCAATAGAGTGCCTTCTGTGTACCTGTGTTAAACATAATGAACAAAACAAAGGGATCTCTGTCCTAAAATTCATAATCTGTTGGGAAAGAACATCTAAACAAGGAATTGTAAGCATTATCACTGATAGATAGCAAAGAAAAAGGAGAAAAGTGCTATTTCCATCATGCAACCCAGAATGAAGGGAGGTTATTGATGGATAAAAAAGGAAGAGAGTTAGTGTAGGCCTCCCTGGGAATTAGACGACTGCATATTAGCTAACCAGAGAATAGAGGAAGATTAAGAAAGTTCTAGTAAGAATAGCATGTGGGCCAGCTTTTAAATTAAAAATTGGGAAATGTGGAAAGTTAAACAGCATGACTACGTAACATAGAGAGTGATGTGTATAAAGTGAGAGAGTGAAGTAGGAACCAGATGGTCTGTGCTGTGAGGAGACTTGAGGCTTTTAGAGACTATTATGCAGGAATTGGGAAGCTCCTGAATGGGAAGAAATGAAGTGACACAGATTTGCATTTGAAAAAATTATTCTGAATACAGAAATTTATTGGCAAAATGAAATTTTCACTCTGGCATGAACAAATACTAATCTGGAAGTCAGCTTTATCTTTCAGTTTTAAAATACTGAATATGTTCCTTTGCCATCTACCCTATAAAATGTTCTCTCTCTAGTGGGATGTGACACTATCAAATCATAGATGTGTAGCATTAATAGTAGCACATAAAAAGTGAAACAACCAAAGCAAAACATTAATTCCAGAACCAGAGTTGAAACTGAAGATTTGAGGATAATAGTGTTCTCCTTCTGAAAAACTGACTGCATAAAACGGTCAGTTCCGTGAGGTCTCAGAGATATCTAAGCATATTTCATCAGAGCAAGTTCAGAGAACTAATACAGCATGTTGATTAGATGCAAGATACAGTTATATACTTAGTACTGAAATAGTTCTTTAGTGGTGTTTGATAGTAGGCTAAGGATTATAGTAATTTATTATTAACAAAGCTATTTATCCTATTCTTGTTCCTCATTGCCTTTGGAATCTGTGGTATGGGGCATGTTATTTAAATATTAGTTACTTTGAAATTCAAGGTATTTGTTCACCACTTGCAAGGAAGAAGAAATTGTAATTTTTGAGTAAGGAGTTTGAGAAGATTAGCTGAAGGAGTCTTGAAGCTTTAAAAGAAACAGGCAACCTTTTTTTTTACATCTCCACAACTTTGATCAAATCCTTATTCTCCCTCATTGCTCTGTCTTTCTCTTAAAGTAATAACTTTTATAAATGGATAGTTAATAGTTTACATTGCCTGATGCCTAACAATAGTTATTTAATATGTAGTAATTATACAGTTGATTCACCATCAGTATTTTGGACTTGCATGAAACAGCATATTCTTTCTATTAGCACACTGCACCCATTGTCTTGGTGTCCTTCCAGAGTATTTTTCATAAGCATAGCACACTACACGTACTTGGTGAATGAATGAATGAATGAATGAATGCATGCTTAGTTATAGCTATTTCCTTGTCGGGCTCTACACTATCAGTGGCTACATTTATGAACTACTGTATGTGGTCTTGGCCTAAGACCCACTACTCATTCATATAACTCTAGAATTATTTGTATGCCAGGCCCCATACAAGTTGCTCATAATATATGGGAGAGACAGAGGGTCAAAAACCAACTGGAGCTGAATTCAGGAGCTTGGCATCATTAAGCATTCCTAATGTAATCATTCTCAAATCTGCACTGTAATATCCATTGCCAAACCAAACTCTTGTTGCTAAAATTAAACAAGGTAAGTTTTTTTGTTTTTTTTTTTTTACTTCTAATTTTGCATGAAAAAAAGTTAAACTATAATTTCTCATTTTATTCTGAAAGTGTTCAGAACAGTTACAACTTCTGATACTGACAGAAGGTAACATAATAAGTAGTAAACTAATACTCATGGAAAAACCTACACTGTTTAATTTGAAGACAAAAGGCCATTTGTGCTTAAGCTCTACCTTCATAATACACATTTATTTACATATTGTTTGAATATTTGTATATATACACATATTGGATATAATTTTTACTACTAAAACTATTCCTAATTTATATGACTATATAACACATGCAAATAACATTGTTTTCTAAAGAACATTGTGCCCTCCTACTGGAACATGTCCTAACTGAGTTTCTTAGCATTTCATTGTGGTTATCTTTCTGATCCTGACTTACTACGAATGCTACCGTACCATTTCAGTAGAGAATATTTGATTCTGCAAAAGATGGTGGATTCTGTGAACACCACAGTATGGTATCAGAAATAAAAACTACTCTCAACTTTGCCCCCTTATCCTGTTTTGACCAACAAAAAAAGTTAATGTTCCCTTAAAGTCATCTGCTCTGTTGCCACCCAGTAGAAAATACATTTGAGTAGTGCTATGAGGTACGTTTCAAGCCCTTGAAAAAAATTAGCTCCGAATAAGGTACTAGTTTTTACAGTGTATCTCACATGAGAAAAGAATGGCGGTCTTCTCATTTGAAATGAGAGAAAGACCTGACTATAGTTTTTGTTATAGTAGCATTTGTATAGGTGTTCTACTTCAAAAATCTGCATGTATCTTGCACAAATGGTAGTATAACCACCAAGTGCTAAAGATTTCCCTGAAAAGCACTTGGGTCAAACTGAATCAGCCAGGAAGTAGTTAAGCAGAATTTCAGGGGCTTTGTTCTCCTCTTTCATTTTGAAGACTTCATTGGCAATGAGCCCATTTAACTTTTAATGATTTCCTGGCATGTCAAAACTAGAACAGTGAGATCAGTTTTCTTTTTCTTATTTAACATTCATTCAATAAATGTTGGTCAAACAACTCAGTGCCAGGTACTGAGCACTTTTCAAGCACACAGTCAGTGAATGCTCAGAAGTGAACATCTATAACAGTGCTTCAGGTGTGTTTTAAGCACTTGACATTATATTATTAGATCCAAAGAAAAATCTCTGTGAAGTAGGCACTGTTATCTTACCCATTTTACAGATGAAGAATATAGGCACAGAAATGTGGCCCAGGGTCATTTGGCAGGTAAGTAGGGAGGAAGGAATGGGAACCTAGCCGTCTGGCACAGAGTCAGCTCAACCATTCAGCTGCCTGGCAGTGCTTCCTTCTCCGTTCCCTGCCATCTGAGGGCTGCTTTCACACCTGCTGTGTGTCTCACTTTACACTTGAGTACTTTAGGCTGAATTTGGGTTGTTTGTAACTAGCTAGTAGTTGGTGCTGACTCTAGGACTTCCTATATATTTGAATTATTTGTACTTAAGGTCTACTTTTACATTGTACGCCTGGTAGAAATTGGTTCATATATTTGTGTTGAATGTCTTGACAACCAAAGAGTTTTATATACAATACTAAGAACATTTAATACGATTTTGGTCATTAGTCTAACCATGAAAATAATGATGGCTAAAAGTTTTAGTTGCTGTGTGACACAGCATATGTGTATGCATGCACCTGGTCTGGGAATTCATACATGAATGTCTTTATAGTCACACTGTACAGAGGAAATAGAAGTTTCCATCATCTTTTTTTTTTTTTAATTTCTTTTTTTTGCGGGGTGGGTAGGTGTTAAACAAGATCTCACTCCATAGTCCTGGCTGGCCTCAAACCTGTGGCAGTCTTCCTACCTCAGGAGTGCTAGTATTACAGGCCTGAGTCACTAAGCTCTGTAGGAATTTGCTTCTTTGCACAGACATTTCATTAGTAAATGTGCCTCCACATCATAACCTGTCCTGTTGTGTTCTCCTTCTGTCCCCTCATGATTTGTCCTTTTGTGTGTCACCCCCTAGTCTGACACTACTGCACAAGACTGCCTGCCATGGGCTGTCGAGATGTCCACGCAGCCACAGTCCTCTCCTTCTTGTGTGGAATTGCCTCCGTAGCAGGCCTTTTTGCAGGGACTCTGCTTCCCAACTGGAGAAAATTACGACTGATCACATTCAACAGAAATGAGAAGAACCTGACTGTTTACACAGGCCTGTGGGTAAAATGTCTCCGGTATGATGGAAGCAGTGACTGCTTGATGTACGACACTACTTGGTCCTCATCAGTTGACCAGCTAGACCTGCGTGTCCTCCAGTTCGCCCTGCCCCTCAGCATCCTGATCGCAATGGGTGCCTTGTTGCTCTGCCTGATTGGAATGTGTAACACAGCCTTCAGGTCCTCAGTGCCTAACATCAAACTGGCCAAGTGTCTGGTCAATAGTGCAGGCTGCCATCTGGTGGCTGGACTGCTGTTTTTTCTGGCAGGTACTGTGAGCCTTGCTCCCTCCATCTGGGTCTTCTTTTATAACACTCATCTCAACAAGAAGTTTGAGCCAGTCTTTGCATTTGACTATGCAGTGTACGTCACTATTGCTAGCTCTGGGGGTCTCTTTATGACTGCCCTTCTGCTGTTTATTTGGTATTGTGCATGCAAATCTTTGCCCTCTCCCTTCTGGCAGCCACTATATTCCCATCCTCCCAATATGCACACTTACTCACAGCCCTATTCAGCACGTTCCCGCCTTTCTGCCATTGAAATTGACATTCCAGTAGTTTCCCATACTACTTAACAGAGATAGAATTGTTAAGAACACATCTTGTAGCCTCATAGTCCCCTGTGTAAAGAGACTTTTTGGACCTATATACATTTTCCTTTGTTCCTGAACAGTCAGTGGAGCCAAATTTGTACATCCTGGTAGAATGAAATGCTGCTAGATTTTATGAGTATATATTGCATTCTTCTAAATGTGAAACATTCCTTTTATCTTGCTGCTTATACTAGAAGGATCTTTAGCCTCCTTGTTGACATCTGATGAATTATTTAGGTGAAAGGACTCAAATTACAGTTGAGGTGATTCAAAACAGCATGGTAAAAGCAATGGCTAAGAGAAGCTGTTGGGTTCAGTCCTTAGGGATATTTCATAGTGTGCTGTCCTTTTTCTATAGTAACTTCAATGAAAAAGAAAGTCAGCTTCAAGTATAACAAATTTCAGTCAGATAAGGATAATAGTTTAACATTTATCAGTACCAGCTCCAGAGCTTGAGACTGTAACTTTGTTCTCTCTTGGGGCTAATTGAATAGATATCAGTATATTGAAGATTACTTTCTCTTGTGAGTTCCTTATCTTCTACCTCATGTCAGTGTTTAAAAGTAAGATGCATTTTAAATGATGTCAGAGTAAGGCTAATGTTTAAATATATTAGGTTAATATTTAACTTTGTTTGGTTTTTGTTTTCAGACAGGGTCTTGCTGTGTAGCCCTAGTTGACCTGGACCTCACTACGTAAACTAGCCTTCCCTCAAACTTCCACCATTCTCCTATCTCTGCCTCCTGAGTGCTGGGATTATAGACATGCCCTGTTACACCTAGTGTCACCATAATTTTTAGTTACTGATTACATGACTGAAGTTAAAATGTGCCATGTGACAGGTTGTTGTTTCATGTGAAGCAGAAGAACCTTTCTAAATAACCCTCAGTCAAGTGGTACTAATGCCCATATACAAGCTTAGTGGCTAAGACAGATTAATAAAGGGTTGTTGAAACCAAATGGTTGGTTGTCTTTTAGACATAAGTGGTAGGGGCAAGAGTCTGTTTTTCAGTAACAGCAGAAGAGATTCACTTTGTCTACTGTTGGAGTAGTGGGTGGCATAAAGGTTTGCAGCCTGACTGGTTCATTTCCTGCCCCATCACTGATTATATATCCTTTACCCTTCAGTTAGTACTTTAGAGAATACACGAAAGAGAGATGTGCTCACATCTGTGAAGAAATTTTATCTAACACAGATGAGGCTGTCATCTAACAACCGGGGACGGTCTGAAAGTAAGATAATGAATTCAGAAGGGATGAGTTTTTAAAATATCTCCTCTGATATGTTAATTAACTGGATGAAACCATGTTACTACTAAGGTAACACTAGAAATTCAGGGATATTGGATCTTAATGACTTGAGTGCTTATTTTATTGGTTTAATTTGCCACTTATAAGCATTATAAAGGTTTTGTTATATTAACAGTTAAGAGTTTTACAAGCAGCTAGTTTTATGATAGATTGTGATGCCTTTTGCAAATCTGAGTATGATTCTGATATTTGTATAGATATATGTAGCACTTTTCCCCTAATTCCAACACTGTTTTAGTTAGGCAAATCCAGTTGTATAATTTTTAAATACCATCAATTCAAAGCATGCCTGTCTGTGTTTTTTTAATTACAGCTTCTGATTTCTTTCAGCTCTGATTCTTACTCTTCTGGGATACAGCTGAGTCTTGATCCTTCTAAGACAATGGCGGCTGGAATGTAGAGATTAATCTGTTTTTCCCCTTTGCTAATTAATTTCAGTTCCTCTCTCACTTGGTCTTAGTATAAACAGTGATAAAAGTAGGGCTGGATCTGGTGGTGCATGCCCTTATTCCCTACACTTGGGATGCAGAGGCAGGTGAATCTTAAAAATTTGAGGCCAGCCTGATATACATAACAAGAGTTCTAAGTTAGAGCTTCATAGTGAGATGCTGTCTCAGAGAAGAAAAGTAGACTTTTTACCCATGAAAATGCAAGATGATTTTCTGATTACAGGATTTTAACTATAAACTTTGAGCTTTCTTATAAGAATCTTTGGCTTCATCGATAGCCTCAAAATAACTTCTTAGGGATTCACTTGGGAAAAGTAACAGCTATTTGTTTATCTTTTTAGTGTTCCAGTTTTGGAATGAATAGCTATTCTTAAAGCCCAGATTTGGAATAAATAGGTATTTTTAAGCCATCAAAGTTTTGAAAGCAAGTATTTTACAGTCCTTTTTAATCACTTGAGGCCCCCTTGGGCTAGGGTAGGTAATGGTTTTTGTTAAGAAGCCTGTTAATGTTAAAGGCCTTTTAAGATGCCAGCTTGGCAAGCAGTCTTACGTGTGGTATGGTGCAGCAGCTTTGGGTTATCCAGCAGTGGGAGAAAATCAATACAAGAACCTGAGTTTACTTCACTTGTATATATACACTGTAATGGATAGTCTGTTTGCTGTCAACTGCAAGTAAAACCTCAATACATGTACTCTACTTCTTGATGTTTATTAAAAGATGTATTTTTACAAGTTTCTGTCTCTTTTCTCAGCTTTAAGGTAGAATATTTTGAGAAGTATTTCTCAAGTGTATGCTGGCTAAAAGAAAGACTCCCATTGAAAGATGCATAAAGAGGAGCTAGAAAGGCACTACAAAGCAAGGGTAGTTACTCTTAAGTCACTGGGACACTGTTCATCTCTAAAAGTTATTCTGTGGACTTTTTAACAGTCCATAAAAAAAGCACTGAATAAAGTAGTTCACCAGATTTTCTTCATCGGTGAACTTTTATGGTGTTCTGTGATCAAGTGATTGAGATTTAAGCAGGGAGATCTTTCCCTGTTCAAAATACGAAATTCTCAACAAAAATGGCAGGAAAGTCACTTCATTTTTTTTGATCTGTGATGAACTTTGAGTTTGGGATTACAGCTATCTGGAACCATTCTGGATATATACTTTTCACTGAAGCTCATGGTTTCTGGTACACTGTTAGATAGCAGAGCCATATGTTACACTAGGAAGTGGAAGCTACTTCAAGCTGGGCACCAGCTGATGGCTCCAAAGCACACTAATCCATAGTTTGCTCAGTTCTTCACTGAGGGTCACTAGAAGCTAGAGAATCATTTTATGGCTAGCCAAATCACAAGAGACTGGTTTTTCAGCCAGAAATAAGAATACATGTCATTTGTATTCTCTAAGATACTTTTTTTTTTTTTAATATTTTTATTTTATGTGTGTGTGTATTGCCTGTAAAGTACACCTGTGTCATGCAATGTCCGCAGATCCTCTGGAACTGGAGTTAAAGTTGTTCCTGCCATGTGAGTGCTGGGAACAAAACCTGGGTCCTCTTCAAGAGCAGCTGGTACTCTTAACTGGTGAGCCATCTCTCCAGCCCTGTGATACAGTTTTTAAAATGCACCACACAAAGAGTTCCGTGGAAAAAACGGCTAATTTCATTGCTCAGGCAAAAGTACAAGCTGGACCAGCACATCTTGTTCTGCCAGCTGCACTTAGTGCTTGTGAATGTGTGTTTAGTTATACCACAGCCAACTTGAAGGAGCTCCCACCAACCAAATCTGAAACAATTTGAGCATCAAAATAAATAACAGTAATGGGTTGTAGCCCAATGAATAAAATTAGCCATGTAATCACACTGATACAAATGATGAAAGAAAACTGCTTTCATGGGAAAAGTACAGAAGAGAAACATGGATAGAATTAAAACTAATTGAGGACAGTCTACTGGGAAAAGATAAAGTGTAAAGTGGCTTGACTTCACAGAGGAAGAAATAACTATGGTGAACCAGTGTGGCAGGTATAACCTTGATTGAATGGTTGTATTTCACAGTGAGCTAAAGAAGCAGCAGCCCCTGGCGGGGGTAGGCAGTGAGAGGACACTGTTGCTAGACTGGAAACACAGCTCATTGGTCCTGTGCTATGTATTGCTTCCTTTTTTATACTGACTCTCATTTTTATAATTCAGTCTTATGTTGACTCAAAAATATAGTATTAGAAGTCATTAGTTTATGAATATAGTATTTGAGATTTTGAAGAATTTATGTATCCTGCAAAACTTAAGGGTTTAAGTCCTTATAGAAGATGTATAAATGTTGAGAACACAGGACTGGCTGGTGTCTTAATTAGCCTCATTTGTGTCAGCAGTATCTGTACTAAAGTATCCTGGCAGGTGAGCCGGAAGGGCTGGTGGTGTCTTCTTGCTCCTCCCTTCCTACTCATTCTGGAAGCCTTTTCAAGATGGCCATTCTTCCTGTACCTTCAGGGTTTCTCTCGACCTTTGTGTCCAGAAAGGTTCTGTGTGAGTGCCTTGAGCATGCCGGAGCCCTTTAAATGTCTCTGCAGTACCATGGGACGTGGGCCAAAAAGCACTTCCGTCACTTGCTTAATACTTACATCCACATTTGAATGGGTTGTTGTATTTTGTTTGGAAGAATGCTAACTTCTATAAAGAAAATCATACATCATATTTTGTGAGGAAAAGTGAGATAAGGAAAGAAAATATTTTGTATGAAAATCCTTATGTGACTAGGCTATGAGGCACAATCTAGTAGTTGTAATTTTGGGGTGGTCCAAGTGCCACCAAAATCTTTTTCAGAAAGATGCAATATATTCATGACTCGAATTTAGCTGTTTTTTTTTAAAGTTTATTTTTATTTTATGTATGTGAGCATTATGCCTGCATGTGTGTAAGTGCACTGGTGGTGTGTGTGCCCATGAATGTCAGAAGAGGGTGTCAGATCCCTTGGAACTGGAGTTACAAAGAGTTGTTAGCCACCCTGTGGGTGCTGGGAACTGAACTTGGGCCCTTTTCAATAGCAGCCAGTGCTCTTAACCGCTGAGCCATTTCTCCAGCCCCCCCCCCCAAATTTTGCTTCTTAAGGAAAGGTCCTAGCTTCTCATGAAAAGAAAGGTATTAATTGATGTTTTAAACTATTGCATCTAGTGGCAGTTGAAAGGGTACTTCTGATAAAGACCACTGAAATCTTCAAATGAGTTTTTCCTCTTCCTCTAAGTACAGTGTCTTACCTGGACTTTTAGAAGATAATCTTGTGAAGTGGAAAGGCCAACAGTCTGCTACAAGTTCTGGCAGCCTTGTGCTTCAGGTGCCCAGAAATCTCATCTTCCCCTTTATGGAAGAGGATTTTGCAGTCCCTTTGTGTTCCCAACCTCCTAACTGCTACTCTGGCTGCTACTTTAAGAGCTCAAAGTGGTAGTGGAGTGCTGGAGCCAGAGAGTGTTCCACAAGGACCAACGTGTTGCTTCTCAACACACTGAGTAGTGACACGTTGATAGATTGAAATTGGCCATAGTAGAAATATTTTTCCTCCAGAAATTGGTAAACCTTGCAAATCAGAGCTTTTCTTTCCCCCAAGTAGCTGATATTAAGAGATTGCTACGTACGAGATTGCTACTGCCCAGGAGAGATTGAATTGCTGAGTTTCAGGTTGGTTAATACGGAAATTCAAAATCATAGCCAATGCTGGGAGTTGTTAAAACTTTATTAGTGATGAAGGGGCCATCTGTCCCCACTTCTGTTCTAGCCCCTTCCCTACCATAGAACCACCTTGTACACAGGCAACAGAATGACCCTAATAAAATACAACTGTGACCTAGTCTCTTTCCAACTTAGCATTATTCACAGCTGTCCCCTCATAACAGAGTGTAAGCTCTTCTTTAGTTCTGATGGAATGACGTGCAGTAGTACAAGCAGGAGCGCGCCATAGAATATGGGCCTGGAAGTCAGACAGCATAGAGATAGAGGTGTTGTGTAGATGAAGAACTTTGTCTCTGTGTCATGAGTACCATTCGATTCCTAATGATTATTGACACCGTATCTTAGAAGACTAATGTTTAAAAAAGAATTCAAATTCAGTTATGAGGAGTGTCTTCTGTAACCAAATTGGATGCATTCCTTATTTAAGATAATTCTATCTTTATGATACAAAGGATGCCTAACCTTAGCTATCCTCTAAAGTGGTCCCCAGTGATCCCATTTTCTGTTAGTAATACTCTCTGTAATCCCATCCCCCATCAAGAATGGAACGTGTTACCAATATAGTTTTGAGGAAATGATGGTATATGGTTTCTGAAGTTATAGGTCATAAGTGGTATTGAGGCTGGGCTAGGGAGGTAGCGCAGTGGGTAAGCACATTTGCTATGCAAACATGGGGAACTGAGTTCAAATTCCCAGCATCCACATACAAAGCCCAGAAATAGGTGGATCCAAGGACCTTGCTTGCTGGTCAGCCAGCCTAACCAAAACAGTGAGCACCTGGTTCAGTGAGAGATCCTGTTACATAAAGGAATGAGGTAGACTGATAGAGGAAGATACCCTCTATTCCTCCTCTTGCCTCTGTATATGCATACAACTGTGTGTGTGTGTGTGTGTGTGTGTGTGTGTGTGTGCGCGCGTGCGTGCTTGAATCTGATAAATAAGATATTGAAGCTTTATTCTCTCATGGATCATGAACTCTTTGGGGGACCTGTAACAATCTTTCACAACCTGTCTCTATAAGAGCATGCACACCTGTATGATCAACATAGGGGCAACTGAGTGGTGCCTCCTGCCAACAACCAGTACTAGTTCAGAGTTCAGAACCATCTTAGAAACAAATTTTTGTAAGCCTAGTGAAATCTAGATTGTTACACGTGTGGCCAGCATCTTAATTGCAACCTGATTGAGAGACACCCTGGGGAGTATTTGTGTCCATGTTATGAGGTATCATGAGCTTTTCTTCTTCCCTATTAGAAATGATGTCTCACATGGCCCCAAATTTTCTTAGGAAGTGCTGAATATTTAGTGGCAAACTGTGGTAAAATAACCAGACCTGAAGCTATGAAGAGGGAAGATTGATCTTAGATGGAGAAGCAGGTTCTAATTCGAGGAGCAGGTCTGAGTGGCTTCTTTTGTTAACAAAATACCGATCAGGCATGGCGTTTAGGATTGTTTATTTTCTCTTTTTGAGACAGGGTCTCTGTATAGCCCCAGCTGGCCTTGCACTCATTGTGTAGACCAGGCTGACCTTGATCTCACAGAGATCCGCCTGCATCAGCTCTCCAAGTGCTGGGACTAAAGATGTGCACAACCTTGCCTGGCTTGGAGTAGATGTTTAAAAAAAAAAAGTACTCAAATTACATAACCATTCCTAATTTTAAACACACATTTTGGATCTAACCAAATACATCTGGGGTTATTCATTAAAGAAGAAAGCACAGTGGGCATTTTCTCAGGTGGAAACATCTGATTCTAATACACTAATAGTTGAGTTGACAAGCTTCCCTCTGGTAAAACAAACAAGAGGAACCTGTGGCGCTGGTAGTGAGATGCGGTCTGGAGAAGGAGGCTAAGGAGTACAAAAAATCTAATCTGATTGTTTTCCCAACACAAAATCAGGTGCCTTCATACTTTCAGAGAGGACACAGAGCTCCTTGATTAGGGAGTAAGTGATCAGAGGAAGACAGGAATCCAACACCATCTTCTGAGGCCTCTCTCCACCAGCCTGTGTTCATTTGTCAG